TATTTATATTTATATGTATATGAGTGTGTTCTTCTGTGTGGTATGTCTGTCTCTGTGTGTTTGTTTGTGTGTGCATACGCAAATATATATCTGGTTCGATGCAGAGGGTAACGTATAATTAATAATTATGTATATATATGATTAGCGGAAATAAAAAAAACATATTGGTTTGACTAGCTTTTGATCATTTCCACTCTCTCTTTCTCTGTCTTTTCTTTTTTTATTTCTCTATTGCTCATTTTCCTATTTCCTATTTTTCTCTCTACAAGTCAATCTTATTTTCTCTTGCACATTATTATTCAAATATTCTATTCGATAGAATATTTATTTTATGAGTCGATTAAAATTAAATTAAAAGTCATCGGTCGTGTCGAATAATTTGTTCACACGTGTTGTTCTTTTATTTTATTTTATTTTATTTTATTTTTTTTTGTTATCTAATCTCTATTTCTATTAGCTATCACTATTGTTGCATGTATCTTCTTCTATGTTTTATTTTATTTTATTATTAATTTTTCTTTTTTCTTTTTTTTTTCTTTTAAATTGATCTCTACAACGTAATTAGTAAGTTCTAGCACTTGCAATTATCATTTGTCGTGCACGTGAAGAGTCATATGCATACACAAGGGCAGTTCGGTTATTTACTGGCAGGATAACTCGTTTTATTTATTTATTTATTTATTTATTTATTTATTTATTTATTTCCTTTCTTCCTTTTTCTTCTTTTTTTTTCCTTTTTATTTAATTACTCTTTCTCTATATCTTTCTATTAAACTTTGTTTTAAATCACCACGTGGCCTTGTACGTACTTTTCTTTTTTTATCCTTTAATTATAATGATAATCATAATAATAATAATATAATAATAATAATATAATAATAATAATAATGATAATAATATATATACATATATATGTGGATATATATATATATATATATATATATATAATGTTATGTGTGTTTGTGTGTACGTTTTCTGGCATACAACTATTATTTTATCATTTCATTTACCAACGTTATTTTTTTTCATATCTTTCTCTCTCTCTCTCTCTCTCTCTCTCTCTCTCTCTCACTCTCTCTTCGTGTTATTTATTTTCCTCTCACACACGCACACACATACACATTTGACTAATTTCTAACTTTTAAATATTTTATTTTACTTTGACAAAATTCATTATTCATTTTATCTTCTTCTTCTTCTTCGTCTTCTTCGTCTTCTTTAAGTTAAGTTTCTTTTTCTTTCTTTTTTTTTGTTTTTTCTTTTCTTCCTTTTTCTTACTTATTTTTCGTTACACAGTCTTTTCCAATTGTTTCATTCACGTGTACTCTCTCTCTTCTTTCAAAAAAGGAGACACGTGAAATAGTCAGTCTTTGATTTAATTAATTAATTAATTTCTTTTTTTCTTCTTCTTCTTCTTCTTCTTTTTGTCTGTTTATTTTTTAAAGTTTTTCTTATTTTTTTAATTTTTAATTTTTTTTTTTTTTTGTTAATTTTTCTCACCTACTTCTCTCCATCATCAGTCGACAATCTTTTTTTTCTTTTTTTTTTCTTTTTCTTTTAAATTAATTATCATTATTAATTTTGTCTTCTTTCAAAGTCTCCTTCTTTCTTGGCTTTCGTATTTCTTCTTCTTTTTTTTTTCTTTCTTTCTTTTTTTCTTTATTTTTCAAGCTTACTCTTCTTCGTCTTTTTTTTCATGTTTTTTTTTCTTTTTTCATTTATTATTATTATTATACTTTATTCTAATACGTTTTATGTTCATTCTTTTATCCATCGTTTAATATAACATTGTCTTCTAAGCAACAATGAGAAAAACAAAATATTTATGCTGAAGTGATGATGATGTAATTTATAATCCTTCATTTTTTTTTGTTTTTTTATTATTATTATTATTTTCCTTCAATATTTAAAAAAGAAATACGTATTAATAATAATAATAATAACAATAATAATAATAATAATTAGCACAAATTATAATTATAATTATTGAAGTCATAAATCGTAAGTAGTATAATGATATAATAATCATAATCATAATATATACAGTAAAATAATAATAATAATAATAATAATAATAATAATAATAATAATAATAATAATAATAATAATAATAATAATAATAATAATAATAATAATATATTGTTTGTTTTTTCTCTGTATGCTTATTAATTTAAAGCCACAAATTTCGATGTCAACACTGCATGAAAAAGAATATTCCTTCTTTTTTTTCTTTTTTTCTATATCATATATAGATATTATCTTTTTTTTTTTTCATCATTCTTCTCCTCCTCCTCCTCCTTTCCTAATCCTCCTTCCTCCTTTTTCTCCTTTCTCCTTTAATTAATTTTACTTTCTCCACATGCATACATACGAGAAAAACATCTTCATCATTCTAATCGTTTATTACATTAGCCTAATCTTCATTATCTCATCTCATCTCATCTCATTTCATCCTATCTCATCTCATCTCATCTCATTTCATCTTATCTCAT